TCCCCCGCAACTCAACACATTTTCTCTCCGTTTTCTGTTACTAGGTTCACTTGGGAGCTATAGAGAAAATAGTTCTCTATCGTCGGGAAGATCAGGGCCTATTAGGCTTACCTGGGCAACCCTTCCTCCTGTTTAAATAGTACTTTTTGCAACTATGTGGACCATCGAACACACAGACGTAATGGACAATTAGATAGTAGAATTTGGTACACTTCACTTTAGTCTGAATAATAAAGCTAAACCCAAACTTAAGTATTCCTAGGTTTAGAATATAGGTACTATATTAGGCTTGGCCTAAAACCTTTCCCGGCTTGTCCAAATTCAATAGTACCAAATTCTAGCATCTAATTATCCGTTACGTCAAATGTACGATGGCCCCCCATCGCTACTATAACAACTATCTAAACAGGAGGATAGGCTGTTCCAATTCGATTTACCTTTAAAACTGCGAATCTAGTTACAAATCGCCAATTTCATCCAAAATATATTCCCATTTGCCAGCCTCATGCTGAACCAGGCTCCCTCTGCCTCCCTATAGTGGCCGTCAACGACCCCACTTTCTGCTCTTCCTCGTCATGTCTACCTGCTCAATGTGTTACAAGTCGTGCCGTGTAATGCCAGCAACGCGCACAGGGCTGTTGAGGCCTAGACAACCAACGTGGAGGGGAACCAAGAAGAGATGTTTAATGCAAAGCAAATTTTTAAGTTTTTATTTGAAAATAGGATACCATTATTACTCTCGGATGTTAGTATTGTTAGTTACTTTGTGTGTGGACCATCACACAATCACCAGGCCAACCACAGTGACGTCAACACAATCACCAGGCCAACCACAGTGACGTCAACACAATCACCAGGCCAACCACAGTGACGTCAACACAATCACCAGGCCAACCACAGTGACGTCAACACAATCACCAGGCCAACCACAGTGACGTCAACACAATCACCAGGCCAACCACAGTGACGTCAACACAATCACCAGGCCAACCACAGTGACGTCAACACAATCACCAGGCCAGCCAGTGATTGTGGCTGGCCACAATCACGTCACACACCAAGACAGAGGGACCAAGGCCTTCAAGGCTTAAAGAAAACTAACCTGTTACTGAAGAGTCGATGAGTATAGAGCCCTTCATGTTAGCGTCACAGCCAAGCCTTTAGTGCTTAGCCTCTCGAATTAATTGATACGACGATGCCGTTGTAGTTGATGGGGGTCCCATGCCCAGTCATTAACTGGGGCTCTTCTGAACTACAGCCCCACGAAAGATGGGTCCTTGAGAGGAAGCACGACTTCGCAGCTAGTTCTATGACACACATGCGACCCGTCCTCTGGCCACACTCGATAAAACTGTATGTGGGTGAAGCATTTGCCAACCCGTCCTCGACTCAAGTCCATTACATCCAGCGGTCGACCCCCACAGACGCATTCATAAATTTTTACATGCTGTTCATTCAAAACAGAAATTTTCTCAAATATAACATTGTAATATATTAGCATATTGTGCATATATAGACATACGTTAGGTTAGGTTAGGTGTTTAGGTTCTGTTGGCGATTATTTGCATTTGTGATACGTGGGTGAAGCATTTATAGCGTTGTGGTTCGAAAAATAAAAATCGTCAGTGAAGCACTTGTTCCGGAAGTGTTCGAACGTCAGCAGTTACGAGTCGTGTGTAAACGTTTTTTATTCATAAACTGGGGTTTTGGCGTGTGCATGGAATCACTTTTAGATCTTTGTTTGGAGGACGGGCTGAACAAAGACCCAAAAGGGATTCCATGAACCCGCTGTTTATGAATAAAAAACTGTTTACACACGCAGCCCGTCCTCCAAACAAAGATCCAAAAGTGATTCCATGCACCCTCCAAACCCCCTGTTTATGAATGAAAAGCGGTTTACACATGACTCACAACTGCTGACGTTCGAATATATCCGGAACAAGTACTTCACTGACGAATTTTGTTCGAATCACAACGCTATAAATGCTTCACCCACGTACTACAAATACAAATAATCACCAACAGAACCTAAACACCTAACTTAATCCAACCTATGTACATGTACAATATGGCAATATATAATATTTTTTTTATTTGAGAAAATTCCTGTTTTGAATGAACAGCAATTGATGAATGCGTCTTTGGGGTCGACCGCTGGATGGAATTGACTTTGTATGAGGACGGGTTGGCTTATACCGTTTTCATTCATAAGAACAGGTTTGGCGGCTGGGTTAAAGAGCAGCTGTTATGTGTTGATGAGGACGGGTTGCATAATGCGACTGCCTATCCGGCATAAGTTGTCCTAATTTTGAACTATGGGCAAGAAACTAATGCTCTAACTTACCCTCAGCATGGCAACCCTTCAACAACAAGAGGAACAAGAACAAGACTTCTAAACCTCTCTGAGAGCGTCATTTCCCCAGCCAGCTAAACACATCTACTCGAAGCTAGACCTATGATGTTATCATGAACCGTTAACGAGACAACCCATAAGTAATCTTAGGACTCACACATGGTAATCCGAGACTTCAGTCAACGGTTCGAACCCAAATGAGCGGTGCAGCTCTCACAAACTGACTAAACTATTGTTTTAACCAGTTAACTATAAACCAGATCCTCTACCCACCTCCAACCAGGGGTTTTGTGGAGAGCGACCTCACTATTGTTTAACATTCTTCTTAGTTATCATGCTCCAGATCCCATCTTTCCTCCAATGTGGCGCGGGCCAGTTCTTAAAGACGGTTCTTGCTCTATATCTCTGAACCATTCCTACTTTGTGTCTTTAGGTAAGAGTTCCATATCGGGACACCATATTCAAGGACGAAGTTCTTCTTCTTCTTGATAGTAGGTGTCGTTTACATGAATGATTTGTTAGGATGAAGTTCACACGAGTTGTTTATTGTTCAGATTACTGAACTGAAATATTTTAGTTATGCCTGAAACGCTTTACATATTAATGGTTGATTAAATATGCATTATAACAAATATTTACCTGGTTGATACCTGGTTGATGGGGTTCTGGGAGTTCTTTTACTCCCCAAGCCCGGCCCGAGGCCAGGCTCGACTTGTGAGAGTTTGGTCCACCAGGCTGTTGCTTGGAGCGGCCCGCAGGCCCACATACTCACCACAGCCCGGTTGGTCCGGCACTCCTTGGAGGAATAAATCTAGTTTCCTCTTGAAAATGTCCATGGTTGTTCCGGTAATATTTCTTATGCTTGCTGGGAGGATGTTGAACAACCGCGGACCTCTGATGTTTATACAGTGTTCTCTGATTGTGCCTATGGCACCTCTGCTCTTCATTGGTTCTATTCTACATTTTCTTCCATGTCGTTCACTCCAGTACGTTGTTATTTTACTGTGTAGATTTGGTACTTGGCCCTCCAGTATATTTACAATTTACAATTTACAAAGTACAATTTAACCATTGTAAATTATTATTTTTTATATTTTTTAAATAAAATTATTATTATTTTTATTGTTAACGTTATTCAGACGATATGTCTCTGGTGTCTCAGTCTAAGGTTTGTCTCTTACAACTTGAAAAGTTGTAAGAGAAAAGTGGGAAGCTTCATCATCATCATCATTTTGTACTGCATTCAATTCAATTGCACTGAATTCTCACGCGTATTCCTATCCTCACAACGTTACATTTGTCTGGGTTCAAGTCCAGAAACCATCAGATCTCCTCTGAAGGCTGTTTAGTTCATTCTGTATTAAATATAAATCCTTGTTTTCTTATTCTCATTTGTTTTGCAACATCAGCAACAGTAATGCGAATGAACCTATTTCCTCTGTTAGGTAGTTTAATAATGGTAATAATAAGTTTGTCCCTAGTGTCAGTACCAACCCTTGTGGCACTCCACTCCTTACATCTATCCAGTCTGGTACATCCCATTCTGATGTTGAGACCCTTATGCATCATTCTTGAAATGTATTTATATACATGTGTTTGTTCCGCCTTGTCCCTATACAGTCCCGCCTTTCAGCCGACTGTATATGTGAGACAAATGTGTATTTGTAGTACGTGTCCTGATGGTTCGTGTTCTGAACGCGTGTATGACCTTTGACCTATAGGTATATTTTAATATGACGCAATTGGACGTGCTGCGGCCCCAGACAAGATACCAGGCACCGGAAGCCTGGGGCACTATGGTGGGCGGCATCCTTGCTATCGTGGTGACGGAGGTGCCTGCCCGCACGCTCCACACACCCACGCATAGTCTGCGCACGCCTCCTTACTCAGCCTGCGTGCGCATCACCAGTTCATAAGCCTGCGCACGCATCCCTAGCTCATAGCCTGTGCGCGCACTTCTATTGCTTTTATCCTATTCCATCCCATATTGGATGACTGAATGACTGAGCTAATGAGTTGATCAAGGTATATAAACTTTAAAAGGAAGTTTATCTGTGAGCAGCCTGACGGCAATAATTAATATACCAAGAACTCTCTTATTTCATAGACTTGAGGGAACGTGAAATCTATACTAGATATCATATTACTATGATATATCATGTCCATTTATCATATTACTATGCAGGAAGATCTGCATATCTACTAGTCATGCAATGAGAAGAGCAGAATTCTAGACGTTATTAGTGGTAGACCTTAGCACAGCTGTAAGTACGTCTTGGAGTTTGTACAGCCTGCTGTAGTAGACCTGATAGTTTAGTGTAATCTATATCTTATTATACAAGAGGATTTCTGTTCAAGGTTGGGTGGAACTTGCCTCGCTAAACTTTACAGGGTGACTGGTGTGGGTTGGGGAACTGTCACAAGGACCGATCCCGTCTCGCCTGCCTAAGAGGAGTCAGCTCCCATGGCACTCCCACTTGAAGTCGGTAATGAAATGGTGGTTGCCGAGTTCATAGTTATATGTTCATCATTTAGGTGGTGGTAGTTGTGGTGATGGTGGGGGGAGAGTAGAGGTAGAGAGGGGGGACTGGAGATGGTGGTGGTGAGGGAGGGGTTGGTGGTGGTGGTGGTGAGAGAAGGAGTGGTGGTGGAGTGTGGTGGTGGTGGTGGGCCAGTGTGGTGGAGACCATCGTGGCCGCAGCAGCACCATGGCGGGAACAGTGCTCCTGGTGTCCCTCATGCTGGCCGCCATTACAGGGTAAACTCTCATCTTCCCGATTCTTCTCCACTGTGATTTTACCATTGTTTTTTGTTATTTTATCGTAAGTATGTGTTCAATATTATACTCGTATAATTACACAAATGAGGATGACCCATCGTGCAGTACTCTCCACTCACTGTACTCTTATTGCCTCATTAGTAGTGTGAGTCACCAATACTAGTACACACACACCCACTACTGCCACACTAACACCCACTACCTCCGTCACTAGTCTGACACTAACAGCCACAACTCCCACATCAACAATCAGTACTTGTACACCAACAAGCACTATTCCTATTATACTCCCGCCCCAACAGTCCCTGATGCCACCACAACAACCAGTACCCACCACCCCAACAACCAGTACCCCCACCCCAACAACCAGTACCCCACCACCCCAACAACCAGTACCCACCACCACAACAACCAGTACCCACCACCACAACAACCAGTACCCACCACCACAACAACCAGTACCCACCACCCCAACAACCAGTACCCACCACCCCAACAACCAGTACCCACCACCCCAACAACCAGTACCCCCACCCCAACAACCAGTACCCCACCACAACAACCAGTACCACCCACCACAACAACCAGTACCACCACAACAACCAGTACCACCCACCACAACAACCAGTACCACCCACCACAACAACCAGTACCCACCACCACAACAACCAGTACCCACCACCACAACAACCAGTACCCACCACCCCAACAACCAGTACCCCACCACCACAACAACCAGTACCCCACCACCACAACAACCAGTACCACCCACCACAACAACCAGTACCACCCACCACAACAACCAGTACCACCCACCACAACAACCAGTACCCACCACCACAACAACCAGTACCCACCACCACAACAACCAGTACCCCCCACCACAACAACCAGTACCCCCCACCACAACAACCAGTACCCACCACCACAACAACCAGTACCCACCACCACAACAACCAGTACCCCCCACCTCAAGCAGTACCCCCACCACCACAACAACCAGTACCCACCACCACAACAACCAGTACCTACCACCACAACAACCAGTACCACCCACCACAACCAGTACCACCCACCACAACAACCAGTACCCACCACCACATCAACCAGTACCCCCCACCTCAACAACCAGCAGTAACGTGTGGGTGTTGTGGTGACAGGGGCGTCGGGGCGGTGGACTGCTCGTGCGAGCATGCCAGGTGCACGACGCTGGACCCCGTCGACTGCAGGAGCGGCGTGACCAAAGACATGTGTGGCTGCTGCACGGTGTGCGCCGGGGTCAGTACTCCACACTCTCCCACAAACCTGTATCTGACAACCAAAATAGGTGATGTTAACTCTGGTTTCCCTTCAAAACGTATAAATCTTTACCGCCTTTTCCGATAGGTAATATTAAAGAATGTTTAGTCTGGCTTCCAGGTGGCGGAACCTGGGGTGTCTTCAGGCGAGGGAGACACTTGTCAGGGGTCTAGACACTTGTCTAGACCCCTGACAAGTGTTTCGCTTTGCTACGTCATCGCTATTAAGTAAACATTAACCTAGTCCAACTTAATCTAACCTAAATAAGAGACTGAAATTTCCGTGTTATTTATGGTATGCACAAGGTGTGACGTCACTAGGACAACATGCTAATTCTGGCTCAGGTTTTGGATGCTACTCGAGAGTCTGAGGTGTGTTGGTCAAGACAGCACTTGCCTCTTAAGAGACTATGGGGGCGTGTCTGTCACCACAAGTTGGTTTACCATTGTCTAAGCTGCTACACCTCATTACTGACCAGCTTAGTACGGCAGCTTGACAACCACCAGCTCTTTTTTTAATGACGCTGTAATGCCTTCAGGTGGCACTATAGCACACAACTGCCAGTGTCCAGCTTGGACAACCTTGTCTCAACGTGGCACTCTATTGTTAACTATAGTACTCACTTTAAAAGAGAAAACCTCAAATAAAAATGTATTGAATATTTACATTTATTTAAATATCGACATAACATTAAACATATTATTTAGTTGATTTTGAAACCAGAAAATGATCTAAGAGTTTATTGTGTGTTATAGAGGGCAGGTGGTTGTACTGAGAAGGGCCAATAGATATAGTCAAAGGAGTTCCTAAACTAGTGGAGATAGGCAGGCCCCGGCCCCCAGGGAAGAATATTTCACACGACACAATTTCCCTCATACAGTGTAATACTGTGCAACAATATATTGTGTGTAATGTGAGGGTGTTGCGGCAGGTGCTGGGGGAGGAGTGTGGGGGCCCCTGGAACATCTATGGTGACTGTGGCACTGGTCTGGAGTGCCACCAGGACCCCTGCCCGACCACCACCGCTGATACTGACTGTTTCCTCTTCTATCTCACAGGTTAGTGCCATCATCTTTGATAAACACTTAATGGTTATACTGCAGAGACATCTTTGACAATAGAGGGCGGCAGGGACTTCACTAACAGTAGAGGGCTGCAGGAACTTCACTAACAATAGAGGACTGAAGGGACTTCATCGACAATTCAGAAATGGACAAACTGTTTTTGGATCGTAGGCAAGCGTAAATTAAAGGTTCAGTCCCACTATAAAAATCATAATTGCATCAAACCACGTTAAGAAATAATCAAGTTGCAAGTTTACACAACCAATCAAATCACAGATAAATGAAAAATATTACCACACACAAAACTGAATAAAAAAAAACCACCTACTGTACCTGACGACTGACAGAACGATCGTCAGAACATAAACATGAAATATTTTGGTGTACTGCCCATGTAAACTCACGTGTGACTTAACACATTATGTTGCAAATATTTCAACAAATCACGAAGGTCATAACGACAGCCTCCACGACATTTCTAACAATATCTTTACCGTGACTCTTGAGGGTCAAAGAATGTTAATGCATGATACATCTCTCTAGTTGGGGGGTCCCTAACATACGGAGGGACCCCCAAGTCCCTAAAACTACCCAAGGGAATGGGGGGCCCCTCATAAACAATAGAGATTCCTGCAACTCTCGTGGGTAGTATAGGTTTACCTGCCCCCCTTCCCCTCCATATCTGTTCACCCCCCATTTAAATATGAATAAAATACTATTCATAAGCTAAATATAAAACTGGCAGATGTACAAAATTATCACAGCAAATAGACTAAACGTAGACATGTTTCTAACTTCTCCTCCCTGGAGGTGCAAATAGGTTTTTATATTATATAATATAATGCTTGAAGGGTGTGTGTAGTGACTATGTGTTGTGTTATCTCAGAGCCCGGCCAGTGTGTGGAGAAGAAGCGACGGTCCATCCTCGACTTGTTCTCTGGCATGAATAAGGCTGGTGTTGAGGAGGTCCGCGAGCGACGCCGTCTGCGCCTTCTGCACCAACTGGAAAAGCTAAAGTAAAGGCACTCTGTAGGGATGCTCCAGGCAGAGCTAGAACAATAACAGGTGGATAATAACAGTGTCAAGAAGGTTCAAGATGAACAATGTATCAAAAAGGTTCCAGATGGACAGGGACAGTGTCAAAATGATTCCAGGTGGACAATAACAGTATCAAGAATGGTTCAAGGTGGACAATAACGATGTCAACAAGGTTCCAGGTGGACAATAAGTGTTAAAAAGGTTCAAAGTGGACAATAACAGTGTCAAGAGGGTTCCAGGTGGACAATAAGTGTCAAAAAGATTCCAGGTGGACAATAGTAAGAATCTGGAACCAAGACATTGACATCTTACCGTCACGGGCTTTCACGACAACCAATTGTCGAGTCTTAAGATTTGTTCAGTGTGCACTTTCACTGAAATCACCAATTCTTAAGTTAAAAATATTCAAATGGAAACCTTACCAGTAGGAATAATGGAAAAATGACACTGTAATTGGTAAGCAATTCGTTGCTTAACAAGTTAACATAACAACATGGGTCAAATATATTGTATATGTTTATATCACATGAAATGTGCAAAATATAATAATGATAATATCAGAAGTAATGCTGACACTATTTAGAACAGTTCCGAAGGTCAAGGGTGGCCACAATGATCGGTCAAGGGTGGCTACAATCAAGGGTGGATGCAATGACTGGTCAAGGGTGGCTACAATGAGGGACATGGCAGGACTGTACATAACACCTATAACCACACAGTCCCTACAGTGCACGTTACCAATATAATTGTCACAGTCACAGTGACACAAACAATATTATCGCCTGGTTAGTTTCCCTGTAATTCAAAATTATTTATTCAAGATCAAAATAAAGGTTTAAGTCAAAATATATTTTTATAAAAATTTATTGTACTGATCACAATATGTATTCTAATAAATATATATATATGTATCTTTTGGTATCACACTGTTTTAAAGGGGGTATCGTGCGCCAACCCACCCTTTAGATAGCACTTTTTCCAACCATGTGGACCATCGTACATAAACGTAATAGACAATTAAGATAGAACTTGGTACTATTCACTTTATAAGAGTCCTAAAGAAATAAAAGCTATAAACCAAACAAAAATATTCCTAGGTCTAGTATAACACATATGTACTGTATTATGCCTCAGATAGTGTATATTTTTACGATAAGTTTTCTTTACAACAACAGTACAAAAACTTTTCCGGTTTGTCCAAATTCAACAGTACCGTACACACAGAGATCAGAAATGTGTGTGTTCACACACACACACACACACATTTTGGGGGGCCCCAAAACGAGGCCACCCTCGTACCAAAGAGCCAGAGCTCAACCCCCGCAAGCACAATTAGGTGAGTACACACACAAAGGATTTGTTCAATAGTACCGATCTCTCTACTTTCTAATTGTGTTTTACGTCAATATATGTACGATGGCCCTCATCGTTACTATAAGTTGTAGCTAAACAGGAGGACGGGTGTACAGCTACGGCAACACTGCCATCAACGATCATGACCTCATTTGTTTACATCACAACACACACTAAATTCACAAAGAAATTTAGAGTTTAAAACTGCGAACATGAAAAGTAAGCTTAATACCTCATAAAACCCTCCAGCCTGGCTGTTGGACCGTCGTGGATCATCGTCAGGTCTTCTTACTGAAATAAATAACTTGTATACGACTACCTAAACTTGCTGATGACGTTACATCCACATATTTTCCAAATAAATAATGAAGGTCAAATTAGAGGCGACACCGCTGTTGAGAGGCGATGTTTCCTGCTGGTAACAAGAGACAATCTTTCCATAACACCTCTTGAGTTGAATCCGATATGGACGATCTGTATCCCTTATTCCCACCTATTTTACCCTTGGTGTACGACCTGCGACTCGTCACTCCAGTTGAGAGGCGGGACCAATGAGCCGAAGCTCAATTCGCAAGCACAACTCTGTGTGCTTGCCAATACTAGTGGAAGGAGGTACTTAGGCTGATCAAGTGCTATGTAGTCAACCTGCCGTAATGTTTGATCCTGATCATTACCGTACGTCAAGTTGTCGGAGCTCCACGCTACACTTATAGTAACACCGCAGCCGTTGTATAACGGTATTAACACAGTCTGCTCCTGCAACTCCAGACTAGTTCCAGCACTGTCACTGGAACCATGCCTTGGTTCTTCAGACTGTAAGGGACACTACTACAACCAACTCAAATACATAGCAATACATAACATTCAATGAGTTCTGCAATGCAATATGATTACAATGACTTCTGAACAATCACCTAATTCTGCAACCTAATACAATGACAAGTTACAAATCTGTAATTATTATTATAAGCTAATGTTTAACAAGAAAATAGACGACATTATCACGACCAGAACACAAGAACACGACCTCTGTTATGAATGATACAGACCACAGCTAAGAAACACGCTCCCATCTTCCTGGTGCTGGGGTGATCAGGGCAGTTATGGGGCACCATACTGCTGGCACACACGACGGACGTCACAGGGGCAACTGGTGGCAGGTTAAGAAGCTACACCTCAAGTATTTAAGAAAAATGTCGCTGAAAGTGTCCACCAAACTCGTAAGATGGACGAAATCGCTGTAGGAGTCCACCTCCGGCGTAAGATGGCGGTATTCAGATGGTTTTAGTCATGGCCACGAGGAGCAGGTCATGGGGAAGGCTGGCAAAAGGCTGGCGGCCCTTGTGGAGGAAGGAAGACACCCGGGTCGCCCCGCGTCTCTGGTAGCCCAGGTAGTTCTCACACAGCAGCTGCAGGAGAGGCCAACTGTTACCAAACGCACACCTCTCAATTAAAGGTCTTTAAGAAGTAAACGCTGATATATCCACAGGTACCAACTGGGAAAAAGTATGGCATTTTGGGACTCATTTCCCATATTACCCTCAACTTATTTTGCACCCATTCCACTTATCACTCTACCCCAGACAATCTCCACCATTGTTTAAGTTATCCATCCCCCCTTCCCCAAATCCTTCTCTACTATGATAAAGCCCCATTCCACCAATCTAACAAGATCCCTGGACCATAAACGTCCACCTAGATCCTATACGGCTTACCTCTAAACTTTTCAATTATCTCATTCCAATCCTAAATCCACCCAAACACAAATCAGAACCTTTCTAGACACGTGACCAGGAAGAGTACCAGAATGAGATTCAAGAGCCTAAATGCCCAATATATCAATGCTGATGGACTGACAAATAGGTCAGATGAATTAAATGAAAAGAGTTGGAGACTGATTTTTCTTAACTTAATAGCAATTACAAAAATATCGCTAACTGGGATGATAAAAAACAATATCACTCATCTTACACACATGCACACAGCCTCAACACTCCTCCTCATGCAGAATCAAATCTCATTTCATGCAGCTTTGACAATTCTTTACATGCAAAAGCAGCATCAACCACCCTTCATTAACTTATGCAGCACTGACCATTTATCACATGTACAAGCATGCTCGACCATGTTCCACAAGCCAGTTATTCTCCCCCCAATATTCCAACACATCTGCCCCCCAACCCATCCATACACAGATTTCCCAGCACACATACACCCACCCTCCCTTCACTCACCTGATTGAGAGGGTTAGAGTTAACAGTGAAGACACCATGGTAAAGTTTCGTCTGGGCCATCCTTAACAACTCCTTCTCCAGATGTAGGGCCAGACGCACGTTATCCTGCAGGAGGTGGGAGACGAGCTTGTCAAAAGTGACAAGGAAGTTTCATGTTCTCTGGGATTTTATGTCTTGCTAAACTCTTGTACATTAAGAACGTCATGGATACGAGACAAGTACTGGGAATACAACCTGTGGCGTCAGGCAGGTGCTAGTCAAACAACTGACGAAGGTAAGAGTGGAATAGAATTGGGGCTATTACCCTAAAATCCTGATACACATATTTAAGACAAATATACGTGAAACACTTAAGATATTTGTAATAATACAAGATAAGTCTTCCAAGTTATTTATATATGCGAGACGGATACGAGTGGAACGTAACCTTTGTTAGGCAGGTGTTAGTGTGGTATACATATGGCTGAGGAACACGTGTATTAGACACACACACACACACACATATATATATACGAGTACCTGAGGCTTGAGGCAGATGCTAGTGGCGAGGAAGAGGTTGTGGACCCATCGCACCCCGCGCTCCCCGGCCTCCTGACGCAGCAGGTGCCGCGCCGCCTCCTCCAGAGGGTGGTGGAGGGCAGCTATCTCCTCCATGCTGGTTGGCACCAGCATCTGCACAGTGCCACACACACACACGGAGCAAATATTACATCAACCCACTTGAAGAACGATTTGTACCGATTTGTAATTACAGGAGAAGTCACCCCTGATCATTAAATGCTTCTGTTCTATTGTCTACATCACTCTAAGAGTCTACTAGAAGCATAAACTACAGTAATTGCTTAGCTAAATGTTTTAGCAATGACTGACGTATAGATCATTGTAAAGCAAAACACACCTGAGGCTCATTGAAGAAGTCAGTGTTGATCACAGCCCCAAGGACGCCTCGTTGGGGATCCTTCACCACGAAGCTCAAGTCATCGTGCACCAGGCGAGGCCACAGGAGGTTGAGGAGGGCGTGGTGGGCAGCTCGTGGTACCCTCATAGTCACGTCAAGCGGGTTCTTGGTGGTGAAACTCTCAGCAACCATCTCAATCACCATGTGCTTGTCAACACCCTGTACCACAGTATAATGAGCTTGTCAACACCCTGTACCACAGTATAATGAGCTTATCAACACCCTGCACCACATTATAATGACATTATACTGTGGTACAGGGTGTTGATATTATACTCTGGTGCGGGACCTCACTTCCTCGTAGTCAGTTATAGATAAACACTGTTAGGAAGCCACCCACAACCTCACTGGCCTACACCATCAATGACAACCACCTCACCAACCTACACCATCAATGACAACCACCTCACCTACCTACACCATCAATGACAACCACCTCACCTACCTACACCATCAATGACAACCACCTCACCTACCTACACCATCAATGACAACCACCTCGCCTACCTACACCATCAACAGCAGCTTCCATACAAGCGCCATAAGATATAATTCAGGTATAAGATCAGTTGACTAACCTGGGAGACAGGAAGTGTGTGGAGCTGTGCCAATCTGAGGCCCTTGGACTTGGCCCCGGAGGTACTTATGGGTAGGTCAGGGTGGAGAGCGGGGATGCTCATGTCTGAGACCGGGCCTTCCTCCTCCTCCTCGTCGTCGTCTCTGCCTTCCTCATCCCTCCCAGAAGAGGTGGCGTGGGAAGGGGCAGTGTTGGGATTGGAAGGAGACGGCGAGCAGAAAAGGTTCATCACCTCTGCCATGGTCTTAGCCTGTTGAGAAAGTATATAGCAGAGTAAGGACCAGACCAAACCGTGCTGCTAGAAAGGACCAGGACAAACCCTGATGATGGAAAGAACCGTGGAAATATTTCTACTTTACACTCTGAAAATCTATTTGTTACAAAGACTGAAGTCATTTGAGTCATCAAGCATTGAAGCCCCACTAAGGAGATTATCATTATCAATTTTCCACCCATTTGTCTAGACAATATCGTGCGATATATTACTTTACCTTCAAAATATCACTGACGACTTCACCAATAGTAGCGGCTTTAAGGAAGGCGTCGAGGGTGACGTCGAGGCCCAGGTCCCGCAGGCGTACCACCACACCGACGGAGGTGATGCTGCTGCCGCCCAGTTCGAAGAAATTCTTCTGCAGGACATCCTGTGAGCGACTCACACCGAGGGCACCGCAGATGATTCTAAGCACGCGGGACTCTATAGGCTCCTCCTTCTGTTGGATGTGGATGTGGTTACTTTCCAATTCGATAATATATGCACATACTTTCACTACATCTTCCAGTACAGCTCTCCTAAGCAATCAAAGGAGCCAGGTAAGCTAGATCCTAAGACCTGCAGATGCCGTGAGTGTGATCCTACACGCAGTAGTCATACCAGTGTGATCAAGAGACCAGGGGCAGTATGAGTGCTCTAGTCTTATGACGGAAGCCCGTGAATTTATAAATGTAATATTCAGAACACAAACTTTAGTTTAGGAATCATTTTTGTAAAATATTAAAATAGGACCAAAAACTGAATTAGTAAATGCATGTGGATGATGGTATATGTGACCAAGATGTTAGTCAGGACGATCCTGATGGACTTACCCTGAGGATAAGTACGTCGTCAGTGGAGGTGCGGCGTTGAACCATCCGCTTGTGGTAGAGCGCGAGCAGCGCTTGGCGGTCGATCTTACCGCTCGGGAGGTGTGGTAGAGCGTCCACCACCAGAAGCCGGGGTACTAGCCCCCTCGGCAGGTACCCTCTCAGGCACCGCCCCAGGTCCTCCGTCACCCACCGGTCTCTATCCTCGAACTCCTCCTTCAACACCACGAAGGCGGCCAGCACCTCCTCCTCGTCCTCGCCCTGCCTGTCCTTCGCCGCCACCACACACACTCTCGCCACGTACCTGTCCGTGAACATGGCGACCAGCTAGTGAAGCACGAGACTAGGTACTCACACCTGTAACTGTATCACCCCAGTAACCCTGTCACCCTTGTGGCTATGTTACACATGCTGCTCTATCACACCTGTCTACCACATGTGGCTGCATCACTGTTGGTTAAAAAAAATACGTTGAGGAATTAGATGCAACAAAATCAGTAGAACCTGACTTAATGGCCAAGGCTGCTGAAGTAGATTTTAGAGGTATATTGTCATCCACTAACTAAAGTTTCAAATAAAACTTGAATGTAATCAACCAGAATTCTGAAAAAGAAATTGTACTCAACTGCTCACCAAATCTCGTATCCAGTTCTTGTAAAACTTTACAATTCAGATTAGTTTATGAACGCGGATTATATTAAATGCATTATATAGCTGCAGTGTTGTGGGTAAATTATATGATAATCCGCGCATATAAGATGATGGGTTTCCTTTAGTATTAAGCAAAAATTTCCAAGTAATATCCGACATACGTCTTATGTTCAATAACACAGGGTTTTCTAGTCCATACCAATATGTGCCTCTTTAACAATAGTTTTTCCTTCGATAAATATTGACTAATTCTTATAAACTTTATTTGGGGGACTGGAAAGTAATTGCATTTTGGCAATTTATATTTTCTTCGTCATGTTCACACACTACGAAATCACTAAGATTTTATAGAGAACAATATGATGCTGATGCCTTGGCATTTCCTGGGAACAATATTTGTTATGTACATCACTGAAATGTAAAATAGAAATTTCCTGACGATAATTAAATATAATGCTTTATTATTCAGAGTCAAAACAGGTGTTTGGCTCGGAATAATAAAGCATTATATTTAATTAATTAAGTATTAATCTCTCACATACACAGACATTCTAATATGAGGTTATTGTGTGGAAAAAGCCTTGACAAAGTCACAAGTAAATACAATAAATTGGCAAAGAAAGACGGGACATCATATTTGTGAACCACAAATATGTAATAATAGAAGACACGTGTAACAAAGACACAATGCAGTCTGTAGACGAAGGCACAGGGGCAGGCAGTCAATAGGCAGGCAAGACATAGCAAAGATAAGACAAAGACAAAGCATACGACACAGCAGAAGGTTCCTCACCCACTGCGGTGCACAGCATCCTCTACCTCTGTCAGGTGAACCCGGACACCCCGCACCTTCACCTGCAAGTCGCTGCGTCCCTCCACCACCAGCTGGCCACCAACCACTCTGCCAAGGTCGCCCGTTCGGTAAGCTGTAGCTTTTTTCTGACACTCTGTGACAATTTGCGGGCTGTCTGCTCTCGTTCTTGTCGCTGGCTTGCTCGATGGTTCCGCTAGCGTTTTGGAAGACAATCCTGAAATGGTTTTTAAACTCGCTGGTGTTTTGGAGGGACTTGCTGACCCGTCACCAGTCTTGTGAGGAGGTCTAGGCGTTCTGCGAGGCACAGTTGGAGGTGTTGATGTTCTTGGAGGGACCGTAGGTGGTGTGGGGCTCTTCCCGGGGCGAGGTGCCAGCGCAGGCTGGAATGTTTTGCCCAGAGATGACTTGAATCTCCGAGTTGTAGGACTCTGCGAGCCCTCCTGAGGTCTAGAGTTTTGGGCTGATGAGACAGACACCGATGGTATGGAATGTGGGTCTTCCCCATTTTGTGTGTCATCGCAGTGACCAGCACACGAGGCACCCGACGGGGCAGTGTTGTGGGCCCGTGTCACAGCTTCTTGGGTCCTGCCACTAGTGATATTATTCCCGCAGACTTTACTGACGAAATCTTCAAGCTTCGCCCTCAATCCAACATCCTGCACCATGACTGTAGAGACCGGGAGAAAGGACTCGTCTTGGTCTCTGTGAAGCTTGCCGTCGAGATAACCAGCGCAAACATTCTTACCCAGGACGACAATTTCGCCTGGCTGGTCCTCTCTTGCGAGGGAGAGGCTGCCTCCCTCCCGCCGTACCACAAGGAGCGCCGTGTTGGATACTGGGCGCCCGACGGGCACCTTCACCCCCGCACGCCAGCTGACCTCATCTATAATGTAGCAGGAGACGTCGCCTGTCACCTCAGTTGACCCGTACAGGTTGATGAATTTGCTGCCAGGGAACATGGCAAAGAAATCGTTGATGAGCCAGCCTGGGAGCATTTCTCCGCTCGTGACCCAGATGCGCAGGTGTCTCTGAAGGATGGTAATAGAGTCCTTAGTGGTGTTGAGGTAAAGGAGCAGCAGCTTTAGGAGGGATGGAACCAACACCAGCCGCGTCACGCTGTGCTGGCTGACGTACCTGATCACCAGCTCTGGGTTAATGGCCTCTTCCCTCATCACCACCACAGGCACTCCTCCCAGCAGCGGTCCCATCAATTCCGTCACAGAGTCGACGAATGTCAGTGACTTCGACATGAGGCACATTTCACCTTCAGTGTAGGGCAGCTCCTGCCACTGCCAATGCAGACGGTTCATGAGGTTCTCCATCGTGAGCAGGACACCCTTGGGGTTGCCCGTGCTGCCCGAGGTGTACAAGATGCACGCCACCCTCTTATCTCCAGTTCTTACGCCAGAGTCGCAGCTCGTATCTTCAGCATCCATGGACGAGAAATTACCGTCCCAGTCACCGATGTCGAGGATGCGGTCAGCAAGGCTGTATGGGGAGTGATTTAGTGGTGCCACCTCCGGGGTGATGGTGGTGTCACACTCCAGCTGTCTGATCTTGATGGAGGTGTGGGCGTCAGTGATGACACAGGATGGCTCGGCATCTCTCACGACGTACAGTGTACGGAGGGCTGGCACGGAGGGATCAAGTGGCACGTACGCCCACCCTTGTTTCCAGATGGCCAAGATCAAGGCCACCAGCTGGGGACTCCGTGGCAGACACAGAGCGATTATTGTTTGAGTTTTCAGGTGTGTGGATGTTTGTTGCAATGGTTCTGGCGACGGCTCGTGTGACGACCTATCCCCCTGAGCCTGGAGACCGAGGTGGCACCTGGTAGCTGCCTCTTGCACATTTTTCCTGAGCCAGAGGTGGAGTGAGTGGACCATGCAGAGGAGCTGTCTGTAGGTGATGCTGGAAGAATCGGCGACAAGGGCCACCTTGTCCCGTGTATCGGGGGAGGTGGCCAGGCGGTAGAAGACATCGTAAGTCGAGACCTGGTCTCCTGGGAGGCCCCTCACCTTCCCCACCAGTAGGGCCATCGCGTATCCTGTAACGACACAAATGATCAGACACCACAATGGCCGCAGTGACACGGGATAATATCCTCATAATGCACCCGGATTCTGCCAGTGCAGACTACTGATCACATGCCTCTGTATGACTAACCATCCTGTGTGATTGGGATTTTTAGCATCACGTACCTAGTTTTTTAACACTTTATTATTATTATTATTATTGTTAAAAACTAGGTATGTGATGCTAAAAATCCCCATCACACAGCATATAGTTAGTCATACAGAGGCACGTGATAAGTAGTTTGCACTGGCAGACTCTGGGTGCATTATGAGGATATCATCATGAACACAAGAGTGAATAAGGTAATTGCAAAACTCCAGGTACCCATGCCAATGGGTCTGATAACTGGGCATTCGGTGATGTAGTATGGGAGATCATGCAGCAGTTCCTGCTCACAGAGTTTGCAACTGGAGTGCTCAGGATTGGGAGATCCGTCACCTGCAGCCACCTGCCACAGATAACGGTAACCCAACCTGATCCTGGCAACCACTGTGTCGCACAGTCTGGTCCACGTTTTGTGCTGCCCATGGATATAGCTTTCAGATCCGAACCCATCATACCTTTTTATTCTGGTGCTTTCATGTCGTTGGGAGTCGGTAATTTATCTCCTATCAGACCTGAATGTTTGGAACAATATAGTTTTGACAGCAAAGATGGAGATACCTAGATATAGTTCAACTTCATCTTTGTTACACGCTAATTTGGCTACAATGTCTGTGTCATTATGATAGGTTATATTTATGTGTGATGGTATCCATACAAAGGAGATCCGAAACCCTTTACTCTGTGAAGCGTTTAGGTCATTTATAATTGCTAGTATGAGGTTCTTGCTGTCGATCTTCCAGGAGAAGTTGAAGCCCTAACAATTCCCATCAGTGACTGCATCAAGACCAATTTGACGGCATCACCAAGTTAAATTACTTTTATAATTAATGCACTCTTTAAATATAGATTTCAGCCATTTTGTCCTTAATTAGTGGCGTTGTGTCAAGTTATAGAAGTAAATTAGTGAGCCTGTTTTGTTCTGTACTCTGTTATGACTCCAGATGGGGATACCAATCACAGGAAATGTAATGACTGCTAAAATAAGACCTAAAATAATTTAAAACATATTTCGAGAACGCGCGAGGGAGAAAGAGCGAGAGAGAGAATAAACGAGAAAGACAGAAAGAGAGCGAGAGAGCGAGAGAGAGAGTAAGCAGGAAAGACAAATAGAGTGAGAAAGTGAGAGCGAGATTAACATTACTGTAACATATAGAAGAGAACTTGTCGAACAACACCCAATCTTTTCACAAGATAAATTATACTCGATGCTTCTTAAATTGATGATAATCTTACTAAGGAAAGTAAGACCACCCTTAGTCTTACTGTACTGTACTATACAGTAGGACTACCCTAAGTAGTACAGTACAGGACTACAGTAGAGCGCTACAAACTTAAACCTAACCTAAACCTAAACCTTCTAAAACTTCTACAACAATTGTATTAAGTCTCTGGTGATGAGCGCTGGAGGATGCATCATCACGTAAACCAGTATTGATTATTGTTACACCTGATGCACGGGTGAGGGGCTTATGGTCACCCTTCCTAGGGTCCGAGGCCCACCCCAGCCCTCAGCGCCTCACCCCAGTGTTGGGTGGCAGCGATAAGCGCTCCTATACTGCCACCAGATAACGAAGGGTCATGATGATTGGGTCAGTCCTAGAACCACCAGATAACGAAGGGTCTGGATGATTGGGTCAGTCCTATACAACCACCAGATAACGAAGGGTCTGGATGATTGGGTCAGTCCTATACAACCACCAGATAACGAAGGTTCGTGATGATTGGGTCAGTCCTATACAACCACCAGATAACGAAGGGTCATGATGATTGGGTCAGTCCTATACAACCACCAGATAACGAAGGGTCTGGATGATTGGGTCAGTCCTATACAACCACCAGATAACGAAGGTTCGTGATGATTGGGTCAGTCCTATACAACCACCAGATAACGAAGGGTCATGATGATTGGGTCAGTCCTATACAACCACCAGATAACGAAGGTTCATGATGATTGGGTCAGTCCTATACAACCACCAGATAACGAAGGTTCATGATGATTGGGTCCTGAAAGTGGAATATACACCGAGTATAATCTGGTCCTGTATACTTGCTAATTGTTTAATAAGAGGAGAGCTGCGGCCTTAATAACTAGTGCAGATGACTGGCTTTAATTAAGAGCTCTTAAGAGCCCGTGTAATATGTTAAGAGTAGACAGGGTAATTAAATATAAGTTCAATTATTAACCTATTACTTGCGCAATTTTGATAAAAAAGTGGATCGAACTGGACGATCAGTGGGGAAAATTAGCCTTGAAAATTTAAAATAAAATACTGTATATTATTTATAACAACTTGTGCATTTGAAATGTTTAATTTTAAATTGTGTTTTAACTTTTAAAAACTTTTTTAACTACAGTAATTAACATTCAATAATTATATTTATATTTTGTTTTACTTATATAGTTACTTAATTTACAAGTAAATTGCTAATTATACAAGAGGGAGAAAATAAGTAAGTAATATTGCCTCTTATAATTAAGCATTATATATAAACTGACAATGTTCGCTATGACATGATGCCGAATATATATAAAAAGGGCAATGCTAACAACAGCAAGCGTTACAATGATAACATTAATAAATATATTAACCAAAAGTAAATTGTCAATAGAATCTTCTAATTTTTGTCTGTGGGGATAACGTTCCTAACGATTTACAGGAATTTCTTTTCGACGGCTCATGAAACGGAGGAAAGTGTCCTGAAAGATATTATTAATAGGAACGTTATCCCCACAGACAAAAATCAGAAGATACAATTGACAATTTACTACAAAAACAAGAAAACGGCCAACCTACTCATGAAGAACTCTCCAGACACCAGACAGAATGCCTTGAAAGAAACCAACGTCGTCTACGCCTTCACATGCCCACTTGGGGATTGTCAGCCCCCAAAGATTTCAGTATATAGGCAAGACGACAACGTCTCTTTCTAAGCGATTAACAATGCACAAACAATAGGGCTCCATCAAGGATCATATAATCTCACACAACCAGACCATCACCAGAGAAATCTTAACAGGCAACACAGAAATTATTGATGGATACAGCGACAGCAGGAGAATCGACATCAGCGAGGCCCTACACATCAAAAAGTCAACACCAACAATCAACAGCCAATTAACACATAATTACATTCTACCTACTTCAAGACCCCGACCCAACACAGAAGCAAGAAGAGAAAATTTTCCCCAAGTAGTTGCGTAACACCCGGGATCTTTATGGGTACAAGAGTCAAATATTTGAACATTCTATCCATAGTTGCTACATGGTTTACATACAAGACCATCATCAAGACTCTGGAAAGCTGCCTTGTTGAAACATGTTTCGAGCAGTTGCCTAAGTATGCTTTCTGGAGATTCAAGAGGATGGAAAGTGGATACCAGTCAACTTTGTTGAACTTCCAGAGAAGTTCCCGTGCCCGATTTCCAAGAACCTCGCAGTAAGTCGACGAACTCCTTCGGAGAGTTGTGAGTGAAAGCACAATGCGAATGGAGTCCGCAGGGTGTCGAGATACTTAAGGGAGGGAGGATGTAATTTTAAGAATATACAAAACCCTCCCTCTTCCTGTCACACAGGAATATGCTTACTGCGCATGCGCAAGCTACCCGCTGCCTTGATGGTAGTTTAAAATGTACATTAAAAAGAGGCCCTTCCTTACACTAAGGGGACCTGTACGTGGGTGTCGGTATCTGGCTAGAAAGTCCAATAAGCATATCCAGGCTTGTACTCTAGTAGCTCTTAACAGATCAATGCCTGAAGACTGAACTTAACCTATCGAAGTGCAGTTTTGGCTAATACGAGACCATCAATCTTCCATACAGGCCAGGATACTTACAATATGGAATAGTACCAAATGGAATGGAAGTATTTACCTGGTACCAAATCGAGATATTAAACCTTCCCTGGAGCACCACTATTGTGTCTCAAGCTAACCCTTCATCCAAGGCAGACATTGAGGAATTCTCAATGTCGTGGATAATAGCATGTCCTCCTACAACGCCACCCGAGTGTCAACATCATACCAGTACCACTTTCAGTGCTGGATAAATGAATGGGGTTAGGAGAGAGAGAGTCTGGAGGAGCTGTCATCCCTCCCTCCATCCATCCCCTCGCTACCCTTCCATAACCCCTCCCCCTTTCACCTCGCTACGTCGAGGTCTCACACCTGTTGATCCACCTTGATGACGTTGCGCGTTTCCTCTCCCCAACCTGATCGATATTTCCCTGGTCGTGCTCCCGTCTTCTTGCCCAGGTCCCTCCACACCCCTTTATTTCCCCTCTCTCTCTCTCTCACACACACACATGTCAGAGAGTGTCCGCACATATTCCAGTAAACTAGCATTACAAGAGGAATTTAAGATTACCAGTACTGAGGTAAGGAAGCATCTGCTGGAACGGGACGCGATGAAGGCTGTTGGTTCAGACAGAATCTCACCATTAATACTAAAAGAGGAAGTAGAAGCACTATCCATGTTACTCTAGTGTATAATAAGTCACCGGAAGCAGGACACCTACAGGCCAGTGTCCATAACTTGTACACCATGCGGGTAATAGAGGAGATTATGAGGACAAATAGTATAATATCTGAAGAGAAGGAACTTTATAAAACCCCATCAGCGCGGGTTCAGGAATGGCAAATCTTGCCTCGCATATCTAATAGAATTCTATGACCAGACGGCAAAAATAAGATAAAAGAGACGGGTGGGCAGACTGCATATTTCTGGATAGTCAGAAAGCCTTTGACACGGTATCCCATAAGAGACTAATACACAAGTTGGAGAAGCAGGTAAGTGGTGCAACAGAGAAGGCACTACAATGGATAAGGGAGTATCTAAGTAACAGAATACAGTTTTACGTGGGACGAGATCGCAGAGTAGCGAGATGTCACTAGCAAAGTCCCACAGGATTTAGTTCTCGAACCTTTCCTGCTTCTCACACATGTAAATTAACTTCCAGAGGGAAATATTCATTCCTTTCAATGGTTGCCGATGATGTAAAAATTGAAAATTAAGACAGAAGATAGCAAGAGGCTACAATGATGGCCTGGACACAATGAAAGAATGGTCCAAAAATGGCTACTAGGGTTCAATCTCATGTAAATGTAAAGAAATGAAACTACATTTAGTGAGAAGGAGACTAGACACGAGGTACCAAATGGGAGATGAAATCCTTCAAGAAATGGACAGAGAAGGATCTAAGGGTTGATATCACGCCGAACCTGTCTCCCGAAGTCCACATCAAAAGGATGTCATCGGCGGCATATACGAGATTGACCAACATAAGAACTGCGTTTATAAATTTGTGTAATGAATCATTCAGAACCTTGTCTATCGCATGTCAGACCAATCCTGGAATATGCGGCTCCAGCGTGAAGTCCACATCTGGTCAAACACAGTTACACAAGGTAAAGTATTCCAACAAATTTTCAAAGTGACTATTCCCAGTACTACAAGGTATGAGTTACAAACAAATGCTACTCTAAATCTAACGTCGCTGGAAGACAGGAGAGTTAGGGTTGACATGACTGCCAGAAAAAATTGTCAATGGAAATGATAGGTTAGGTAAACAAAAAAATAAGATTATTTAGCACGGGTGGCATTAGTGGAAGGAAACTCAGATGGAAGCAGAGGACCCAAACGAGACACAAAGATATTAGAAATACTTTTCAGTGTCAGGAGAGATTGGAAATAATTTTCAGTGTCATTAGTTAAGAAATGTTATACACTAAGAAGTGACGTAGTGGAGACAGAATCCATACACAGTTAAAATGTAGATATTACAGAGCCCACTAGGCGCAGGACATTATACCCCAGTTGATCGACAGTCGAGAGGCCAAGACTCAATCCCCGCATGCACAAAGAAGAGTAAAAAAAATATATAGAAAAAGTACGAATATATGAATCAAAGGTCGGTCTATAGTATTGTGAACTGAGATAAAGACAAATCTTTCAGTGTGGACGTCACCACACTGAACAGAAGAACTGGGGAGACAGGATAACGACATACAAGATTGTAAGGAGAATTAACCAATATGGAAACAATATCCAAAATAAGAGACCCAGGGAAACAGATGTATATTTGTCAAATGGGTCCCCAAGATGTCAGAAATATCTCCAGAGTAAGAGGCAAACAAATTGAACTGGTTATTTTTCATATATGCGAAGAAAAACGTGCCATAAGTGATTAGTCATTGTTCATGGCTAATAGCATTACTTGCTCAAGCACATATGTGTATGTAAGCATATATAGGATACATTTAGGTGAGCTCATCTAGTTGAACACTGGCATCACACAGCTTACAATACTCCACTACCATTATACACACAATATTAATAATACATAATTATTTAAATAAATCATTAACTTTATTTCTAAACGGCTTGTACATTTATAATTGACTTTAATACTAGTAATTATTAAAGAATTATCCACTATATAACATTTTAATTTTTGTTGTGTGTTTGTGGGGTAGTAAGTGTCATTTCCCAATTGCTTGTGTCCTCAAAGAAAATAGCTATTATTCCCTACAAACTGCTTTCGTGACCACGGGAGGTCATAGGAGACTTCAAAGTGACATTCCTGATGAGTCTCCAGGGCAGTTTTACAAAGTTGTCCCCGCTATCTTTGCCTTTGGGAGAGGAAGGATATCAAGTCGCACTACCACAGGCAGGACTGACTATAGTAGATGGCGTTGTGTGTGTGTGTGTGTGTGTGTGTGTGTGTGTGTGTGTGTGTGTGTGTGTGTGTGTGTGTGTGTGTAGGGGGGAGGAACGTCAAGTGGTTAACAAAACACCAACAAATGATGACACGCAGTTTTCTAGCATAATGCTTCAATGCTTCGTTCACGTCCTCTACTCTACTCTTAACTCTGTAAATACTTCACCTACATTCTACAAATGCAAATAATAGCCAACAGAGTCTAAACTCCTAACCTAATAATCTATACCTAACTATACACAAATTTTAATGCATAAAAATATTAATTTTATATATGGAAAACAAGCTTGTTTTTATTACACAGTATGTAAAATCCTTCAATTCCCAGCGACGGTGCATCATATTAATATACGAATATATATAATTATATTGAATCATGACACGTTTAGTCACCTTAGTTAAATAACCTAGCGGTCATATACGGCACAGACTGCCCTAATCATGGCGATTAAGTCAGTTTATAAATTTACTCGCTACATAGTTGTTTGAAAATCTTTGGCATAGTAGTCTCATCTTTGGCATAGTAGTCTCATCTTTGGCGTAGTAGTCTCTGGGTAAGTGCCAGGCACACAACCTCTACCACCCGCTGGCCTTTTACATGCCTACTCATCATGAATGGTTCATGTTGGATATAAAGAGCTGCCTCGTATGGCCCAATATAAACATTCCCCAGTTCCCTCTATTCGTACATTACGTAAATTCGAGTGTTGTACGGTGGCTCTGTAGGTGGGAATTACGACGCCTGGGAGGAACACAACAGTCAAATGTTCTGATGATAACAAATATGATTGACAGACAGGCACAGTCTAACGAACGTCTAGACTGGCTGACAAACTTTTATGACAATTTATGCGCTAATAAACTATACTGTTAAATGAACGCATACATTGAAGATAAAGAAACACAAGCTCTGTTTCTCACCTCGGCGCTGGACAAGATAATTACTGCTGAACACTGAGGAGGACTAGCCGCTCTGTGGGCGCCCTCACGCCTCTCAGCCCTCTACAACACACCCGTCAAGCCATGCTCACCCCTAAGCGTGCTGATGCCACTACAAGGACTACAACCACTCACTAACGTCCAGGGTTTAACAAGAATGCAACAGTAAACGACACACAGATGAAGAGACGCGACCGCCGAGCTTCTGCAACTGACGGAGGCGTGTCGGGGTCCGGGGTTTATATACCCCGGGGAGTCCGCCTGCCTGGGGTGCCACCCCTTCCCTCCAACTCTCACCACAGACCACGAGGAAAGACTATGGGAATCGCAAAGAAAAATTACGATGTGATATAGGAAAGTACAAAAAATATTAACGTGTTCAAGTGAGAATCCACGGGGTCTTCTCTGAATACTCTATTTTCTTCCTCGAGGCTATATCCAAAAACAATATTTTTGTCCAAAAAATAAGTCCAAAACAATACTTTTGTATTTATGTTTGGTACAGTCTGGGCCCACATTGTGTAATCTCAGTGTGGTCAAGGCCAACACTTCACAAAGACAACCTAAGGAGGTTATACACAACCTCTCCCTCAAAATGACTTAACGAGTCATTTTGAGAAAGGTAAAATATTAAGATATATTAATATATAGTTATTATTTTTTAATATGTTGTTAAAAAATAATAATGGGTCTACGATAAAGGTCGTCAACACGACAAGTTGAATGCATCAATGTTTTATTTTAGTTTTTATTCTTCATAGTTGTGTTGCCCAAAGACCATCCAGTGTTAAAATTACTGTGATACTGAATTAAGAATTACTGTCACAAGAAGATGGTTTGTAGACAAGCAATTTAAATCCTGTCATATTAGGTCTCTGTTACACGAGCTGTGTTCAAAGCAAGATTGAGGCAGCCTTCTCAATATATCTGTTATGTACACTTCTAGAGGCTATACAAAAGCCTAAAAAAAAAAATATTATATTTAGTATCTCGCATTTGAATTTGTATGTACATTATTCATTTAAATTCATTGTCACCAATATGCTTTAAAATCGACTATATATATTTTTTCTTTTTAGTAGGCCAGCGAGAGGCCTAAGGCTCGCGCAGGAATATCCCAGGGCGGATTAAAAAAAAAAGGCAATATATATTGTTATATGTAGATGAATTTAAATTGTGTACCTTGCTATGTATCATGACTTTTATATAGTGTATCCATGAATATTGCTGGAACTGTAACATTACTGTAGTCTGAACTCTATCTTTTCCCTATGGAACAGCTTTGAATTATTGGTCTTAATATTTGAATTATATAATTATAATGATTACGTGTCATATTATCATCACTTTATTATGAAGAGTAAAAGTACAATTAATTTTGTTTGTAAACAAAATTTATTATAAATGTCTAATTTATTAATAAAGTTAATGGATATAATTTTTAATAATGTAATGTTTGGATTGGTGTTGGGTTAAAGCCTATCAACTTTAGACATACGAGGGTTATTAAGGCCGTGGCGATAGTTCACTCACCAACTAACAAACTAGCAAGTATACTTTTGCCCTGAATATAGTCCAAGACTAAAGTCAACTCTCAGTGCACACAGATAAATAGGACTACACCTGTAGTCCTATTTATCCACCTGTAAGCCTGTAAGTCCACCTGTAAGCTATATATCCCTTGATAGTCTTGTGTATTTATATTATCTATGTAATATTAAATTTCGCATTTGAAGTAACGTTTTCTTAATATATATGTCTTGCAAGTATATTTTCATAATTAATGTTTCTTGTAATTGATAGGCTAGGCAAGTAAGTAATTATCAAAAGAAGGTGTTACATAGCCGGGGAGACTACGTAACACCATCAAAAGTTCAAGATACACAAAAGGCGCTAAATATCATCAAGGATGCCAATACGAGAACAAAAGTGCATAAGACGAGCGATATCAAAGGTATCTGATTCACCAAGGATTCTATCTAGGGACAAGTGACCGCGAGAGGGGCAGTTGGGAAGCAAGACAGATACATATAGGCGAGGTATTTATGCAGAAACCGTACTGTTTGAGGGGTTTATATAGTTTGTGTCACGAGCTAGCTATGTGACGATAAAATCCCCATCTTGCAGGATGGTTAAACATACAGGAGCATGTGATCAGTAGCCTAAACTGGTCAACTTTGGATGTATTATGAGGATTTACTAAAAAACGTTAGAGCGAATAAAATAATTTGCAAAACCCCGGGGTACCTCACACCGGAAGGTCTGAAAAGTTTAATGACTGGCCATTCAGTAACACTGTGTGGGAGGTGATGACAGAGTTCCTGCTCACAGTGCTTATACATAAGAGTGCTCAGGATTGGGAAGTCACTTGCAGCCACCACCTACAGGTAACAGTACCCAAACCTGATCCTGGCCATCACTACGTCGCACACTGGTTAATGTTGTGTGTTGCCCATATATAAAGGTACTGGATCTAAATAAATCACCACTTTATATACTAATGCTTCCAACCCTTAGAGAGTTTGTGATTTCTCTCCTATCATATCTGAAAAGTTGGAGCAATAGAGTATTAATATAAATTTGGGTTAGCTAGGCCTAATTCAATTCATTTAGCTGGTGACAGAGATGGATCCATACAAGACTCTGAGTACTTTATTCCGTGCAACGATCAGGTTATTTATAATTGATATGAGGTTTTTGCTGTCTCTTGCACAAGATGTTTTAAATTGCTTGAAGAGCAGACTGTAAATCACAGAAAATTACTCCTCTCTGTGTTTTTAGTGTAGTGGGAACTAATTACTGCAGTTAGTTCCGTTAGGGTAGAGTTCTCCCAGTTGTTAAACCTTTACCATTTAAGAAGCCCCATTTCCCCACTTGTTGTTGGGGGATGGGACGCCCACCTGTTGTGTGGGATGGGACGCCCTCACCCACCTGTTGTGTGGGACGGGACGCCCTCACCCACCTGTTGTGTGGGACGGGACGCCCTCACCCACCTGTTATGTGGGACGGGACGCCCTCACCCACCTGTTGTGTGGGACGGGACGCCCTCACCCACCTGTTGTGTGGGACGGGACGCCCTCACCCACCTGTTGTGTGGGACGGGACGCCCTCACCCACCTGTTGTGTGGGACGGGACGCCCTCACCCACCTGTTGTGTGGGACGGGACGCCTCACCCACCTGTTGTGTGGGACGGGACGCCTCACCCACCTGTTGTGTGGGACGGGACGCCTCACCCACCTGTTGTGTGGGACGGGACGCCTCACCCACCTGTTGTGTGGGACGGGACGCCTCACCCACCTGTTGTGTGGGACGGGACGCCCTCACCCACCTGTTGTGTGGGACGGGACGCCCTCACCCACCTGTTGTGTGGGACGGGACGCCCTCACCCACCTGTTGTGTGGGACGGGACGCCTCACCCACCTGTTGTGTGGAACGGGGCACCAGAAATCGATCGTCTCAGGAAACCATCCAGCCCGTCCTCAGAGGTTTCCCAACGTCAAGAAAACGGTTAATTTAGTGTCTTCTCCTAACCTACCAGACTAAGCCAGACGACCCAAAACGGGACAGTACGTCACTTTCGCGAGCCGCTTCCGTTTTCTAATACGATAATGTTTGGCCTTAGTAACGCATACGAGCAAAAAGCGACGTATTTTGTAAGAGGACTTTGTAGGAGGAGCCATCAGCTCGTGGGTCCTGGGATCCTTCTCTCAACTCCCCTCGTCCCCTGGTCCATCTTCCCCTCTCTCATGTCCCTTCTTTATGCCTCCTCTCATCCCCTGAACGCTCTCTTCTCTCTTGCTAATTCCCCTGATCCCTTGCCCCCAGCCCACCACCTCTGTGACGCCGTCAACACCCAGCCCACCACCTGTGACGCCGTCAACACCCAGCCCACCACCTGTGACGCCGTCAACACCCAGCCCACCACCTGTGACGCCGTCAACACCCAGCCCACCACCTCTGTGACGCCGTCAACACCCAGCCCACCACCTCTGTGACGCCGTCAACACCCAGCCCACCACCTGTGACGCCGTCAACACCCAGCCCACCACCTGTGACGCCGTCAACACCCACCCCACCACCTGTGACGCCGTCAACACCCAGCCCACCACCTGTGACGCCGTCAACACCCAGCCCACCACCTGTGACGCCGTCAACACCCAGCCCACCACCTCTGTGACGTCACATGCATATATCAATTAGACAATTGATACAAACGAATATGTGTTCCAAAAGGTACCAAACTAAATTCGTTGTAATACTATATATCGGGAATTCGATTTCCTGTAATAAATTCATTTATGAGTGCCATTTTGTGAGTGTGAACTATGGGCATGTAGGATGATGCTCTATTTCTCTACCGCCGCCCTTATCCAGGGCCATCATGGCCGGCCTCACCCAGGGCCATCACGGCCGCCCCCTTCCAGGGCCACCTCCGCCCCCTCACAGTGCGAAAGAGTGGGTGGGGTTAGACCTTATATCTCCATCATGCTGGGCCTCCTGCTTATTACTGTTGCATTCTCCCCCTCCCTGCTGCTTCTCTCTCTCTCTCTCTCTCTCTCTCTCTCTCTCTCTCTCTCTCTCTCTCTCTCTCTCTCTCTCTCTCTCTCTCTCTCCCCCTGCATTAGTCCCATAATCCGATTATAGACTTGATTAGAGGATTTCTTCAGTGATGAATTCAAATTCCCTCAGGGAATAGCCAAAGGGGAGGGGGAGGGGGATAGTGCTGGGGAAGGGGGCAGGGGATGGGTAGTGTGGGAGGGTGGGGGTGGGGGGAAAGGAAGGATGGGGGTAGGGAGGGGGAGGAGGGGAGGTAAGCAAAAATTAGTTGATGAAAGGATGGGCGACTGTTCACTGGAGAGCAAGTTACAGGCACCTTGAAGAAGCCATCTTCTCCCAAATGACCTTTGGAGAACTCGCAAATTACCTGTCAATCTCAGTTTTAAACTTAAGTGGTACAGCAACTGCCAACTACTCATGGTGATGCTCTACACAAATTTGATTGGTAGTAACACTTGTAATAGATACTGCCGTCTCTCTACTGGTACACTTATAACAATGCAGAGTTTACTGAAGAGAACTAATTCCCCTTTTGTAACTTACGTAATGGCAAGATGGTTCTTGGTACGTCATGAACTGATTACATATTGCTAGTGATTATTACTCGGCTGGTGAGGGAATAGTTGAAATG